CGTGAAGGTGGTTGAAAATGATTCGTTTTTCATACATTTAGACCAATATACGCCGGAGTATACATTATACTTCAAGTAGTCCAATTTTTATTTTCAAAAATGATTCGACTCTTCTGAATTTTTCAATATTAATATTTTTACTTTTTTTTCTGTGACACATTCTAGTTTGAAATAGGTACAGAGTTAATTTTAAGAATCAAAAGGTAAACTCACCGGGTACCTAAACTAAATTAACTAAATAAAAACCCGCACAAATGTTTCCTAAAATAAACCCCAACTTTACATCAGCTGATTGGTCTGAATCTAAAACGTGATATTTGTCCGTAAAACAGTCATTATCATCTCCCTCCCCCTTTAAGTATATATTGGGCAGTATATTAGTACAGGAAAAGTCTTATCAAGAAAAGATGAAAAATAATTTAAACATTTTACGAAATTGGAGAAAATTTGAAAAATCGCTTCCAGCGTCTATCCCCTTTATTGTCGTATTTACAGAGCGGAGTATTTTTTCTCGGTTATACTGCCTACAATATACACTATATGAGCCGTTATTTTTTTATTTGTTTTACTATTCTTATCTACATTTAAAACCGCTGTTTAAAAATTGAAATATTAAAGGTTTTTAAATAATAAATAGTACACAGACTGCGGTCAACACACTTTCCGTTTTTTTTTTTTTTTTTTTTTTTTTTTTTTATTATATCGCGGGGTTATAATTTTTGGACTACATCATCATATTCAAGCACTTGGAGGGTTTTTTTTTCTAAAGAACTTTTTCCCATATAATATCATATAGACCTTTATGAGGTTTTTATTGATGGGGGTAGATAACGGGAGGTATTATATGGTATACGCACATAAATTTAAATAAGTGTAAATATATATTTTATATGCGTGTGCCTGTGTTGTATATAATATTTTGTGTTTACGAGTTTATTATAAAGCGTAATTTGCGATTTTCATATAATCGAGATGATGCAACGTTATGCGACTATCAAGAATCCCCGTCGTTTCTAAAACCCGAGATCAAAAGGATTGCGTTGATTTTATACATTTTTTCGTTGTTTTTTATAATATTCTTTTATTAACGAATTCGCACAACTTACTATCTATGTTTGGTAAGCAGGTACCAGTGACGTATCCAGTATTTTCCAATGGGAGGTGCTAAACTAAAAATACTTGATAAAAAAAAAGCCTTCTACAAAATGCATAATTATTTAATAAGTAATAAGATTTAAATTCTCAATAATTTAAATTATTATTATTATTATTATTATATTTTTTTTTTTGTATTTAACGAGGCCAATGAGGGATGAGGTGGTTAAAACACCCCTTAGTCCCCTTTTAGGTAAACCACTAATAGGTGTGTTATAATAACTGACCGTCATAGGCTGTATACGAATTTGGGATAGTATAGAATACAATAACTATAAAGTATATACGATATAAATACCTATAATTGAAAATAAAGGACTGTAAACTGTTTGACTATGATATATTTATGCCTACCAGAAAAAAAAATGCATTGATTTCGAAACGCTCTTCTAACCTGAAAATATTGTAAAAACTACTTTCTTATTACTCACCAACTAGATCTAAAATTCAATGAAAAAGGTGTCTTTTCATTTTTCGATTTAGCAATGTTTCTGGTAGAAAAATTCGTACCTACACATCATAATGAAACCAATGTATCACTCGCCCCGCTGCGAATCTAAAACAAGACTTATCGAAATAAAAATCTCGAAATGATATTTATGATATAAAATGTAATTACAGTATAAATTCATTCGTCACGGGTTATAAAAAATATTAAAATTTATATTTTAATTAGGATAAAAAATCGCGGCCGCGGTTAGTGACGGGGTTACAAAAAAAAAAAATTATGTAACGTCATAATGTTTAGTATGGCAAATGTTGTTGAATTCGTTTGATCGTTTGATCGTTGTTACAATGAAACCGCTGCGGTTAAGCAATTGGCAGTGTGTATACTCGGGAATTTTACACGCGAAAAGTTCTCGCCCCAGCCGATGGGCCGGGAACGAGCTGGTAACTTTGGTAGCGGCGCGGGATGGAAACCGTGGGCGTAAATGACGCAGTATCGCGATTGTGTATATTAGTTTGACCGGAACAGGGTTCAACGCACACTTTGCGCAAAAACAATTTATGCATGTTATACATGTTATACACCCACACGTTTTGAACCAGTGGCGTGTCTAGGCCTTTCTAACGGGGTAGGCGGGCGAAATATATTTTCACCCGCTCTTAAAATAGAACATTTTTTGAGGAACTGTGTTCTTTTATGTTTATAAAATATAACAATAAGTAAGATATTTTTATTTAGTTAAACATAATAATATAATGCGTGCTATAAAATGTATAAGCAATACAGAGTCAAACATCCGGTTTTTCATTGAAGAGAATCTTTCAGTGATATCGTCCACTGGTAGGTATACCCACTTATTTCCTGATAAATATGCAAGCGATTCTGGTATATTTATTTTGTAACTAGAAATCAATGATAGGAGAAAACGATCGAACTACCAAAACAAAATTATAACACCAGAAACCTTGATCCGGTTCGACTGTAGATGACACAAATATTTTAACATCTATGGATTTGACCATGTTAAAAAAAAAATTTGAAATAATTGTAAAAACACTTAGAACAATAATAATGCACACATAATATTAAACGACTTGCAAGGGGAAGGCGAATGCCCTACTCGCCTCCGCCCTCACACTTCACAGGTACGCCACTGTTTGGACATAATTATGATTAGACGATATATACGATTTCTAATTTTTTTTCTTAATTAAAAAAAAAGGTTGACAAGTGTGGTACTGATTTAAGAGGGAAGATTGAAGGGATTAGGGAAGATTTATAGAGTAATTTGATTTATAATTGTACGCAAGGACCAAAACATTTTTAACGAAAAACGATTTTGAACAGATTATTATTAGTTATGGTGTTTCTTTTGTTGCCAAAGTGATTCAAAAATCAACAAAATGCATACGAAATACCGTTACATAGTTTCATTTATTGTGACAAATATCATCAATGCGCCAATTAGGTCGTACAAGAAAGTTATATTAAAACATTATTAAAACTATATTAAAGTTTTTTTAATAGATCAATTTTTTTGATATAAAAGCCGTATAGAGGCAAACACAAAAAATGCCTTATATTAAAGTACTACTAATGCATTTCTTGCTATGCTCAGAATTTAAAATATTAAATATATTTGTTTAAAATGATGCGTCGTTAATGTGCGGAAAATAATCGAAAGATCGTCATTGTATAGAATTTTTGTGTAATCTTGCAAAATTATAGATTGTACGCATTAATACGAGGCATTAATAAGGCGTATTTTCTTAAACAGTATTGTCCGTCAAAATACGAGATATTTATGAATCGATAATAGTGCATCGTAGAGAATACTTAGTTTGACAACCATAAATGATCAACACAAATAGAGCGCGCCACCATGCTTCGGATATTAAGTTGCATATACCATACAATCACGGGGGATTAGTAAAATTTTAATCTATTTTTTATTTTTTTCTAAAAATGTGCTTTGCTAACGATAAACGTACGAGTTAAATGTACATCTGCACACAACAAATAACTATTATTCATAAAATCCTATTCTGAGCAGAGGTAGGCTAATAGGGTCAATTTGTCAACAACAAGACATATTATGGTAAAATAACAGCATATGCATTATATATTTTCTTGAATAATATTTGTATAATATTATACCTATTTTCCAGTTTTTCCTAAGTTTTCTCCTGGGTTTCCCCATTCATTATGAAAATAGCTGAGAAAATAAAAAAAAAAAAAACCTATCGTACCGCATCAGGAAAATTCCCTTTCAGAATATACGCTATATACTTGATACTTCGGATTGAATTAGAACTTCTGGTAGAATTTGTATATAAAGAATATGAAAAAAAAAATAATAATAATCTCTATAAAACTAATACATTCATCGTTACACTCAGAATATAAAAATGGTCAGTTGACAAAAATCCTTGAAATAAGTCCTGAATAAATCAAAATTATCCAGGGTCACACAATGATATACATGCGTGACGGCTATTGTCGCTATTCAGAAATCTACAACATTTTATCAACACCAATCAAGTTTTTTACAATACAAGCATACATACAACCCGAAAAATATGTAAATCCAAACACTTTCAGGCAACTTATAATAACGGATGTAATTAATTCAACCGACGACACAGTAATATTATTATTTCAACACAAGAATCTGTTCCCTGATAATCGATTTGTTTTAATTTCCCAATCATTTTACAACGACGAAATAATTTTTTTTTTCCATCGGATTATATGTTTATATCGCATGATTCATATCCAACAATATACTCACGTCCAAAAACCATTCGCTTGAAAATGCTCAACTATTCTCACATTGACATAGGTATTCGTGATGAACGAATCGTAAAATTGTACACTGTAATGAATTGAACAAAATTATAATTGTAGGCAGCCAAAATAAAAAACCACACACATTTTTTTGCAAATAGAGATAATATCTACTGTAAATGGGTGTGCTACTGTTGTTTAAGTGGGGGAAGGTGGAAAGTCAAGATACATTAGTTTTGATTTATTTAATTGAAATTTGTATACAACCGTTAATTAGTACTAATGATAACATACAATTTTCAATACACGAAAGGGAGTCAAATGCTACAAAAATTTAAACTGAATTCCAAAAAAAAAAANAATAATAAATAAACTAATCCGATTTGTCATTAAAAATCGATCGCAATAAATGTGTATTTATTTAAATGGTTTCGAAAGGTGCCTAGGTAACATGTTTACAGTATGTCAATTTAATGTTTTAAAAGTATTAAAATATTGAAGACATGTGTTAAAAAGCAGTAGTTTATGTTAAAATATTGCCTATTATCATAAATAGTTATTAGGCCATTACACATTTATCATACATTATAATCATATTTACTCAAATGGCGTGAAAACGAACTTTTGTATCATGTTTACTCTTCGTTAAACGGAAAATACTTGTTTATTTTGCGTCATTAATGGTTTTGTGTTTTGAATATAAATCGAAATCGGGGTAACAAAATTATCATTAATCCAGCAACACACAGTGCAGTATTGTCATAATATTTACGCGTGACGGTTATCATCATTCGTCTACGAAATTTCACCTGCAACATCCGAAAGAATTATACAGCCAAAAAACATTCACCTTCGTATCACCTTGATTCATCTACTACCAACTACAATATTGATTCGGTAACATCGTTTTTTGAATTTCATATTTTATAATGGACTTCAAATGTTTTATCATTTCTCTATGTGTCACATTACTGGCCATAATTCAATTAAAAAACGTAAACGGTATAGATAATCCATGGACTCCCGTTTCAAATTCGTCTGGCGTAGTTCCTTGTCCGTGCAATTTAACATTATGTTTGAGAAATGATAGTATATGTTCGACATGTAGAGATAAATGTATCGATGGAGAAGTTATTTCGGACGGTTCTTGGTGGTGTGATAAACCTAAAATGTGTTATGACAAAGAAAAACTTAATTTATGTTGCATACCTAAGGTATGTCCAGATATACCACCAGAACAATAGTATTTATTCCTTGAAAATATTAAAATTCTTGGCCTTTTTTTCTCTCCAAAATCGAAGAATACTTGTGACTTTAAAGAACTTCTAAATCTTCCCGAAATCGCTTCGAAAAAATGTTATTAAGTTAGTTTTGCTTATTTTATTTATTTATGCACTTTGAATTTAAATTTGAAAATATATCTAAAATATATTTTTATATATCTTTGTATTTTTTACATTATCTACTCTTGTAGACAACTTATTTCTGTACGGATGACTTGGGTAGTTTACAATAAAATTGAGGTGACACCATTGACGCAAAATACGTTACATTGCAAAAAAAAAGCTTCTACTTTAATCAGTAAACAATGCACTGTGCCTTTTTATTTTAAGTTGTACGTTTTAAATTGTTTTAATTTACGTATAGTACTATATTTTGTTACCGTCAAGATTCGTTCAAATTCTCTTACGCAGGATTGAAACCGGTTTTGAAATAGATTTTAAATACCAGTGAAAACCGTTAAAAAATCGATACCAATATCAAAATCAAATTTGAAGCCATACAAATTCAAAACCGATTTCTAAAATTGAAATCAAAAAAAGTAAAACGATTTCCAAAATTAAATCAAGTAAAACTATCCAAAATTAATTGAATTATTTTTACTTATCCTAAGCATTATATATCGGTGCCCGGACAGTCGGTTATAAATCCAATAGTAAGTTTTAAAGACATACACTACATTTTTACAGGGATAAATAATAATAGCAACAAAATCCTATACTATATTTACTTTAATATTGTTATCTGAAATTTTGAGTGTCCAAAATCCGATGTAATTAATTTATTATTATGAATAATGAGAAATTATTATACTTTGTATGTCGTGCCTTATTATTATTTTTCTTATATAAAATCTAAAAAATAAATCAATAATAAAAAAAAATAATATATATTGACAATAGTCGCGGTACCAACAATTATAATAAAGGTAAATTTTTAAAAATTCAAAATTAGATCACATTGATTTTGGAAACACTAAAATCAAAACCATTACTCAAAATTGAAACCAAAGTCAAAGAATAATTTAACAGATTTCTGAAATTAAAACCAAAATCGAAAAAAAATACAACCGATTACCGAAATTGAAACCAAGATCGAACAAAAACAAAATCGATTTTTGAAATATTAATCAAAATCGAAAAAAATAAAACTAATTTTTAAAATTGATATTAAAATCGAAAAAGTTCAATACCGGTAATCAAAACCGAAATCAAAAAAAACATTTTTTTTTTCGGTTTTAAGCCCTGCTCCTACAGATTTTTTTTTTTAAGCAGCGATTTGTTCACTCTTATATAGTCCATACATTTTTCGTCCTAAGTATAATCTTGAAGTGTACAATATTTATTAATAGTTATACAATTTTTTCGTCTACGATAATATTAATTTAAAAATACATATTATTTTTCATCGAAAAAGACCGTTGTTAGAAATACAGTTTGTAGACAACCAAATGGTCCCGATCCGAAAGTATGAAATTCAATTAATTGTTAATTGGATACAAAATGAAAACCAATATTGAATAACTGGGTTTGTTCACTACAATATTGTATACAAATTTTAAGAATACAAATAATTATCATCATTCGTGTGTACAAAAACCAAGGGAATCGGACGTTTGTATTAAAAATGAACAAGAATCGTATGGCATGTTACTCGAACACAACGTTATTGTAGACAATTCACAATATCGTACATTCAATTAATACAATACGGATTGGTCGGACGGGTCATTTTTTTCTCAATTTATTAATAATTTACTTGCCTACTGCTTATGCACGTTTATATTATAGAAGTAATTGTAATACGATTCGTGATTAAGACCAGTACACAAACGCCGGCGAGAAATTCGGATCCCTTCAAAACTATGTCTGCAATTGCATTTAAATGAAATAACTGAAATTAGTATTCAAGGTATATAGATTTTTAACAGCAAGTTGTATATTTTAATTCTTTTTGAACAAAGATTGACATGTCATTTTGATATCATAGATAACGCAGGTATAAGACCGGTCGAAATACAACTACTATTATTACTATTAATTAATTAATAATATCCTGTGTTGTTGTAAATGTTATTTTTTAATGCAATGAAGTTGGCTGATTTACAGTTCAAAAATATGCTTTTTGTTCATCAGGTCCACTCATATGTATTGTCTGTGTAAAAACCAAAAATAAAAAAAAAAAAGACTGTAAATACTTCGCACGTGGGTGCAGCCACTGTTGTAGGTGGGAAGTTGGGAAGGTAGGATACAGACGGAAATTTAATGTATATCTGTAAGCAACGATAAACCATTGCTAACGAGAAAGCAATTCTGAGCGGAGTTCATTTGATCGTGTTGTTTTGTCAACAATACAATATATGGTATTATGTCATTTTATGGTATCTAAAATGATTAAAACAAAGTGCGTTTCCATGACAACAATGATTGTTTAAAAAAAGACCTAGGTTTTTCTCATTATCTCAAATATTAATGAGAATTTCAAAAAATGACTTTTCTCTCATGTTATAATAAAATGATTATATTTTCTTTAATAATGTTTGTTTAATATTGGACTATTTTCCCGTTTGCATATGATTCTGTACATGAACTCGGCACTTGTATTAAAACCAAGCTCAACGATCGATTTATTTGAATATACCGCCAAATATTTTAGTAGCCGGATATCACAGTTTTAGCTTAAATACCTATTTATTTTAATTTTAGAATTAACCATGGTGCATTGGGTAACACCTTACTGGTAGGATTTGTGTTATCAAGTTCGATATCATCCGACGCGCAGTAAATTTTCGCACTTATTTTTTTGTAAAAAAAAAATAGGCGTCTAATTTCCGTATGTGATTTAAACGTTTTTATTTTGCCCAGAAGCTCACCCCAATCGAATTTTTTTTTATTCACTTTCTCCTATTGCCTACTTAACGTGGTTTTACACATCAAATCGGGAGTTATTTTCGATTAAAACAGTCCGAGCGAGCGAGTAACCCTGCTAGGTCTTTAAGTGCATCCAAAATGCTTTTTTTACTTTTCCCTATCACTTACCCGACGTGGTTTTGCACAACAAATCGAGTGTTATTTTTAAAGTATATAAATTTCATTCAAATAATTCTAATATGTACTATATGTTTTACATAAAATATTTGGCGGTATATTTAAATTAACCAATTGTAGAACTTGATTTATTACAGGTGCCGATCTCATGTATGGAATGCTTATATGCTCCCCGTTCTATCGTTTTTTTTTTCGAATTTTCCAATATATTGAGAAAATTCCTGAGAAAATCAAAAAAATGATCTCCTTAAAGTACCTTTCCAGTCAAATTTTTTTCAGAAAAAGTGCTATCATTGTAAATTAGAGCAAGGTTGCTATAATATTTGCTGTAATATTTTTTAACTAATATTTAAATATATTGAACTACATTTCGAGCATTTTCCGGTTTTCCAATAAATAGAGAAAACTGCCAGGAAAATCAAAAAATGACCTTCCTCAAGTACCATCCCAGGAAAATTTACTTTCAAAAATTATGGTCTACATCATATACATCAAAAGCGATAAGCTTTCTGAATATGTTTCGGAGTAAGCTAAACTCAGAATCTAAAATACAATTCTGAAAGATGTTCGTTTATAAATGTTTTGAAATGCTGTAAACTTAAAACGATATTATATGTAAAAAAAAATCTACTGCTTTAATACTCATTTTTTTTTTTGTAAGTAATTACAACTAATTAAAACTTGTATTGGAACTTGTGTAAAATTTGCAAGCATATCTGATCAGCCAAAATAATTTAATTTACATAAAACCAAATAAGTTGTAATAGGATCAGAAAATGTAAAATTTCTATAAAGAGCTCGAACTCACTATAATGTTTTGAAAATTTAACAAAAGTAATTTGTAAACATTTCATATCCTTAACTGATTCACAAAAAAAAAAAATATAATAAAATCAAAAATTATGAAACCGTTATTTTCGATGACAATAATAGGTACCTATATTGATTCTCGAATTTCAGGAGTAGTTCATCCTATGATACGAGGTCTTTACTTTTTGACTCTTATATGTTTTAAAACATAATAATGTATTAATATATTAGGTATTAATATATTATAGATACAGACGTGGGTCCAGAGGCAGCAATTAGGTTCTATGCCCTCTCCCGCTAAGATTATGGTTACCGGTAAAAACCAAATACTATATTATACGATAATTATTTTCCAAATATTCAGGCACGTTCCAGGCATCAGAAAAAAAAATTGTAAAATGAACTCCCTAAAATATATTGTTAAATGATAACCAAACGTGATTGTAAAAATAAAATTGATAATTGATTTGAACTCCTAACCGTAACGGTATACTACACAATTTAATTACGATTATGTACGACACATCACGGGTATCAGTTAAAAATATTATGTTACACTGTTTAATAGTATATTATAGTACATAGTGCTATTATAGATTATATTCTTTTAAATCTATGGTTTTATTTATCAAACACGCACTTATTATTATAGATTCGAAAATAATACCAAAGTTAATTAATCATATTGTAATTTATAATCATATTATGACAATTATTTTCAATGAAACAAGATAAAATACTAAATCTTAAATTTTCTTATTGTCAAAAAAAATAAATAAATAAATAAATAATGCCAATTATTATAGAGTAGAAATTGATACTAAATAAAGGAATTTGTTTTAGATGTGTATTTTTAAAGTTACTACTAATGTATCCTTTTGAATACTTAGCATTATAATTTTTTAGACCTAAAAAAAGGCCATACCATCAGGATAGAGTATCTATGTAGAATAGGGTATACGAAACCTTAACCCTCTCATTAAAAAATCCTATATACGCCATAATTATATGATGAATCGGCCGAAATAACATATCATCGCTACGGAACGGGAAAAACGAACGTCAAAAAGTTCTTTCCTATTGGCTATTCATATACACGAAGGTTAGGTTTTGAAGAAAAACCTTTCGCTCATTAAGTTTATGAGGAAATGCGTAGGATTCGGTTCATGGTGTAATAATTACACTACATATTGAAGTATATCCAAAGTATACAATAAATGGTTAACCATTACCTTATAAAAGAAAAAATAAATAAGTGAACCTTTGAATATATTAAAATATAGTAAGTATAATTATTTTAAGACTAAGAAACTCACATCCATTTCCAGATTTGGGTCAACTAGTACTTAATAGGTACGTAATTAATTGGCAATTTACACATTTCTTTTTTTTGTTAATTTGATTTGATTTATATATTTTATAATAAAAAGTATTTAATATTAAATTTGTACAGGGCAATTTTTTTTTTTTATTAAAACCATAACAAAGATTTCCTTTAACTTTTTACATGCTCTAAAACCTTATTAAAATAAAATATAAAATAAAAAAAATATATATACTTAATACAAATTTAAAAATTGAATGATTATAAATTTTGTAATTCACGAAATCCAATAAAATTTTAAGCAATAAGTGGACAAATACATTATAAAGTTGTCAAAAGACCGTGTATTATATCACGAGTGCCAATATACAGGTAACTAATATGTACCTACCACCTATTATCTCTGTTTCTTTAATCTAAGTAAAAATTACCCATGTTCTTAGATATGATTTCACATAAGCTAAACCGGTCATGACTCATTTATAAAATAGGGGTTATTCAACAGACAATAAATTAGAAATAAAACATTAATAATATAGATGTTTAGAACATTTTTGGTTTTACATATTATTATTAGATTCTGAGCGTAGCGAGGGAGCTATTTGTTATACAATTTTTCCTTTCTTTTTTTTTTTTTACTAGTCTGTGGACACGTTTTTTCCTAGTAAACTTGCTCCGATTTTTACGAGTAGCAACTTTTCTAAAAGCTTAAGTAGTCTAGATGGTTGTCTAGATATCTGGAGAGGTAATTATTTGATTTTCGACTGGGAAAATTGGTACAATATTAAACAAATTTTATTAAATAAAATATATAAAGCCCATTTAATTATTTTAATAAAAAATGATAAATATGTATATATATATATATATATATATATACTGTTGATAAAGCATCACTATCAACTCCGTTCAGAATCGTTTTTTCGTTATCAATGGTTTGTAGTTGCTTAAAGATATACATTAAATTTCCGTCTATATCCTACCTTTCCAACTTCCACCTACACCAGTGGCTGTACCCGTTCCCATTATCTTTCCTTTCTTTTTTAAAATCAATCTTGTTATATTTTGTTTGGAGCAGGATTTTAAGTATTAGGTCTATCGTTTAAAAGTCGTATTTGACGCTATTGAAATTAATTATTATTGTTATAATCAAATTATAGGTAATGATTTGCAATTAAACATTAATCATATTTATATTATATTATTGTGTTTATTCAAATTGCGTGTAAAAGCAAATGTATACATTTCGTTAAACAATTCATTAAATACTTATTTAGTTTCGATATTAATTCTTTTGTGTTCGGAATATACATCTAAATCTTTGTAACAATGTTATCATTTATCCAGCAACACACGGCGTATTGTCACAATGTTTACGCCTGACAGCCGTCATCGTTTGTCTACAACATTTCACCAAGATTCATAAAGATTATACAGACAAAAAACATTCAACTTCGAATCAATTTGATCACTTCTTAATCGCATCACATCTATTACCAACTACAAAAGCTAATTGACAGAGTCATATCATTTTTTGAATTTTATATTTTATAATGAACTAAAAATATTTTTTCTATGTGTTATATTACTGGTCATAATTCCAATAAATAATACACGATAGCAACCGACTGCAATAGTCAATTCATTTGGTAATATCATTTTAGATTCTGAGTGAATCGATGCAGCTTTTTGTTTTACGAAGATATTTATATAATTTTTTTTTTTTTATCTGTGGAAAACTTTTTTACCAGGAATCGAGATCCGATTTTTAATTGTAGCGTCTTTTCTAAAAGAAAATTGACCAGAGAAAGTTAGGTTAGGTTAATGAAAGACATTTTTCGAATTTCCAAGCAAATTAGAAAACCCTTGAAAAACGGAAAAATACGAAAAATAGGGATAGGTATAGGTATATTAGTTGATAAAAATATTACAGCCTTTTATTTCCCTGTGGACTACTTTTCTACTATCAAATCCTCGGATTAAAAATAATAGCACTTCTTCTAAAATGAAAGTCGACTGGGAAGATACTTTAACGAGGTCATTGTTCGATTTCTCAGAACTTTTTCCAACAAACTAGAAAAACCAAGGGAAAACGGGAAAATCAGTATAATGTTAAACAAATATAATTAAAGAAAATATATAATGCTTATTTAATTATTTTACCATGTTATATACATGGATATTGTTGACAAAGCATCACTATCAATTGAACTCTGCTCAGAATCGTTTTTAGTTAGCAATAGCTTATAGTTACTTACAGATACAAAATATTTTCCCTATAATATATACGTTATTTTATAAGAAAATAATTAAATAGGCTTTATGTATTTACTTTATTAATACTTTTGTAACGTTGTACCAATTTTCACAGTTTTCCTACGTTTTTGCCAGTATTCCCATGTTTATGCCGTTTTCACATTTACTGGGAAAACTCCTGAGAAAATCGAAAAATGACCTCCTTAAAATACTTCCTTAATCAAATTTCTTTTTAGAAAAAGGGCTATCATTGCAAATCGGAGCAAAATTGTTGGTAGAAAAGTTTTTCAGAGTAAAAAAAAATCGTAATATTATATAAATATATTTCGTACATTTTCCCGTCTTCTTTTATCGTTTTTTCTTATTAGATGAGAAATCCTTTGAGAAAATCGAAAAATGACCCCTTTAAAGTACCTCTCACACCGATTTCCTTTCAGAAAAATTGTTATTTTTAAAAAACTAAGCTTTCTGGAAGAAAAGAAAAGCTTCTGGGAGAAAAGTTGTGTACAGTAAAAAAAAAAAAAACAATCTTTGTAAAATTATATGCTTTTTTGCTTCTTTTAGAATCTAATATATTAAATCAACTATTTATTGTTTACCATTAAGTAGTACTTATAATAGACGCCATATTAAATTAACGAGCATTTCTGTTTTATCAATTTTCAACATAGAGTACCTACCAAGTAAAACTTACGTAAAAAACTCACAAAATTATAATGTCTTATAGCTTAAAAATAGCCCAAATGTATTAAAAATAATACAACGTCTATAAAAGGCAAATATAAGTTTTCTGTTAAAATTTAAAATCTCTATAAATATTTTTCATTTATTAAAATACAAAACAAAATTTAAATAAAAACAAACTTTTTTTCATATATTTTCCCGTTTTTCCTATTTATTATAAAAACTCCTGAGCAAGTTAGCTCCGTAAAATAACACCTCAAGAAAATTCCCCCTCAGAAAAGGTTGTATACTAGATACTTCACAGCAAGATCTCTGTTAAAGTTTTTGTACAAAGTATAAGAAAAGTATAATAATAATAAAACATCTTATAAAACCAATTAATTCTTAGCTACACTCGGAAACTAAAAATGAGTAGTTGATAAAAATTCTTAGACTAAATCCTGAATAAATTAAAACCTGCAAAACAAAATTATCATTAATTCGATGTCACACAATGATATACATGAATGACGGCTATTGTCGCTATTCTAAAATCTACAACATTGTATCAACACCAATCAAGTTTTTTACAATACAAGCATACATACAACCCGAAAAATATGTAAATCCAAACACTTTCAGGCAACTTATAATAACGGATGTAATTAATTCAACCGACGACACAGTAATATTATTATTTCAACACAAGAATCTGTTCCCTGATAATCGATTTGTTTTAATTTCCCAATCATTTTACAACGACGAAATAATTTTTTTTTTCCATCGGATTATATGTTTATATCGCATGATTCATATCCAACAATATACTCACGTCCAAAAACCATTCGCTTGAAAATGCTCAACTATTCTCACATTGACATAGGTATTCGTGATGAACGAATCGTAAAATTGTACACTGTAATGAATTGAACAAAATTATAATTGTAGGCAGCCAAAATAAAAAACCACACACATTTTTTTGCAAATAGAGATAATATCTACTGTAAATGGGTGTGCTACTGTTGTTTAAGTGGGGGAAGGTGGAAAGTCAAGATACATTAGTTTTGATTTATTTAATTGAAATTTGTATACAACCGTTAATTAGTACTAATGATAACATACAATTTTCAATACACGAAAGGGAGTCAAATGCTACAAAAATTTAAACTGAATTCCAAAAAAAAAAAAAAAAACACTAAATAAAACCATTATTGTACTTAACATTTTCCATTATGCTTAGAATTTAAAATATTAATTAAATTTGTATAAAAACGTTATAAATGACGCTGCTAAAATATTACCTATTAATTATAATAATAAATAAACTAATCCGATTTGTCATTAAAAATCGATCGCAATAAATGTGTATTTATTTAAATGGTTTCGAAAGGTGCCTAGGTAACATGTTTACAGTATGTCAATTTAATGTTTTAAAAGTATTAAAATATTGAAGACATGTGTTAAAAAGCAGTAGTTTATGTTAAAATATTGCCTATTATCATAAATAGTTATTAGGCCATTACACATTTATCATACATTATAATCATATTTACTCAAATGGCGTGAAAACGAACTTTTGTATCATGTTTACTCTTCGTTAAACGGAAAATACTTGTTTATTTTGCGTCATTAATGGTTTTGTGTTTTGAATATAAATCGAAATCGGGGTAACAAAATTATCATTAATCCAGCAACACACAGTGCAGTATTGTCATAATATTTACGCGTGACGGTTATCATCATTCGTCTACGAAATTTCACCTGCAACATCCGAAAGAATTATACAGCCAAAAAACATTCACCTTCGTATCACCTTGATTCATCTACTACCGACTACAATAGCCAATTGATTCGGTAACATCGTTTTTTGAATTTCACATTTTATAATGGACTTCAAATGTTTTATCATTTCTCTATGTGTCACATTACTGGCCATAATTCAATTAAAAAACGTAAACGNCCTTGTCCGCCCAATTTAACATTATGTTTGGGAAATGATAGTGTATGTTCGACATGTAGAGATAAATGTATTGATGGAGAAGTTATTTCGGACGGTTCTTGGTGGTGTAATAAATCTAAAATGTGTTATGACAAACCAAAACTTAATTTATGTTGCATACAGGGAATATGTCCAGATTTACCACCACCATAATATAAATACTTGTGATTGTGTTAAATAATTTCTAAATCTTCTCAAAATCGCTTCAGCTAACGATAAGATGTTTTTATTGTTATTTGTATTTATTTATTTGTTCACTTTGAGTTTAAATTTCGTAATATATCTATAATTAAATTAAATATATCGTTGTATTCATTTATGTAGTCTACTACTCTTGTAGACAAGTTTTTCTATGTAATAGACTTGGATAACTTGGGTAGTTTACAATAAAATTTGTGGACTTTTTTTGCATTGAAAATAGATCTTTGTCAGTACAGGTTTTAGACAACCGAATAGTGAATAGTCGGGATGAATACAAATATTGTATTAACAAGGGTTATGAAATAACGAGGTTTGTATAATATAATATTTTATTTAAACGTTATAAAATAAATAATTTACAATCTTCCATGTATACAAAAACCGAGGAAATCGGTAGAACACAACGTTGTTCCTGACATTTCACAATATCGTCTGTTAATTTAAAATAATACGAACTGGTCGGACGAGTCGGAATTTCCAAATTTTGATAATAACTCATATACTTACTGCGTATGTAAGTATATACTGTAAAAACAATGGTAATACCATTCACGATTAATTCCAGACCAGTGCAAACACCGGAGAGAAATCCGGAACACTCCAAAACTATGTCTACTGAAGTTAGTATTTGAGGTTTTGCAAGACTTTTAACAGCAAGTTATATGCATGGATGGATTTCAATTAAAAGTACATGTATATAAAACACATTTTATATTTTCTATACATTTTTAACATTATCTAATCTAATGAGATAGCAAAATCTAATTATAATAATTTTTGTATAAAATTACATTTGTAATGAGCAATATTACTATATATTTATTATTTCAATACAAATACATAAATAAAATATTTTTTTAATATTATAATAATACTATTTGATCAGTTGTAAAATATTATTATAATATTAATAAAAAATGATTTATCGTTGTTTAGAGTATACATTAAATTACCTATAACAGCAGCTGCACCAGACCCTATTATCTTTGGACAGTTTTTTTTTTTTTTTATGCTATAAATGTATAAAAAGCACAATAAAGACGTTATCGTGAAAACGATACACACAGATTATCAATATATTTCTGGAGTGATTCAGCATGCTCAACCCATTTTTAATGTTGGTTATTATTTGAAAAAACGAATTTAGTATCGTCAACAGGATACTCCTTAGTCGTTGTGAAAAATCCGAGTACACGAAAATATCGTCTTTAACTACACTTAACAATTCCCAAAATCAGAATTTACATATATATGCATAATTCACCCCTTAAAATGGGTCAAGCATGCTTAATGAATCATCCTGTATATAACATTGTATATATATATATAATATAATATATTACAATGATATTTTATTCGAATTTCCCATCGGACACATCGATTTCGTAAATATACGCGAGCCTATATATTATTATAATTATAGATAAATGTACACGAATACAATACGGTCTATTATTATCAAACGTCCGGCAGCTGTTTCAAGTGAAATACTCTCACGAACACAATATTGGCGTCATCAGCCAGCGAATACTTATTTTCGTTTTACACTGAAACAGTAATCAATAATGTTAAAATAATGTCGGCAAACAAATATTGATGGACAAAGAAATCTATTCACATTGTGACATAACGTCCCACTCTACCTACCCTGCAGCCAATTATTTCGCTCACACGCGATCATTATGGTAATAGTTTCCATCGTCATGGCATATTGCCCAGTGCTAAATAAGGTAAGTGAAGCGCTGCTTCATGTACAATTGTCTTAATACAATAAAATACGCAATACGGGTATACTTTTTTTATTCTTATGAATGCTACCTTTCAAAATGTTAAAATTTACTTTTTTTTAAAACTCATTTTTGTGTAGTTTGTGATTTTATAATCGATAATTGAAGTCACATGTGTGAACAAAAGTTCTAATGATCATTCTACGAGTCATGCAAGTTTCGAGTAAAAAACGGATCGTGCGCAAGTCCCTTAATATGAAAATAAAAAATAATTGAACTATTTGTCCAGATTTGTAAATGTACATTTTAACGATTCGTATTAAACAAAAATCAAAATAAGTGCCCTTAGTTCTCACGCTTTGACCCTCCATTGGATTGTATTCGACACGAATCGCAAAATACATCGAAATTACAACTTTCCAGTATGATTTTATGAAAGGTTATGAGAGTACGTTATAATCTTCCACCCCACGCACTATAAACAATTCGATAGTTTGGTAAATACATCGATTAGTTTCCCGTCGATTGCACCGGAAATCACGTGATTTATTTCTTTTCGTTAGGATTTACCACCACCACGCCCGGATTTTTTATTATTATTATTATTATTTTTTTTTTTTGACGCGCCAGTTTCCCGTCGACATCACGCGAGGGCGTTTTGCCGATTGTTCTATAATTCAAAATCATTATAATCGTATTTTTAATATATTTCTATCCTTGGTCGAAATTCGCGATAAGAACGCCGCCGCCGTCATCGCCGTAGGGATGTCGACAAATCAAGGCAAAAAAACCATCCTTCTCCTCACTACCTTCCATCTATTGTGAATATTATATTTATTGCTAAATATATTATATACAGGATGGTTCTTTTATCGTTGAACATTCATTATTTCGCAGTGTTGACTTTTTTTAAAAAAATGTGTGGAAAAATTAAGAAATAAGCAGATTTAAAATGTAACGTGTTAAATGTCGTCATTTTTTTAGGGGGGGGAGGGAGGGTTTAATCGACTACATAATTTTGATTTTCAAATTGTTGCCTACATTAAAAGTTTCATAAATACTTATAAATATAATGTAAGTTTAAATACATTATGGTGTTGAATTTTTTTTATTTCCGTCAAACCGTTTACCAGGTATTATTTTTTAAACCTTAAAAAGTAGGATAGTAATGGACCATTGTATTAAATCTGCTTGTTTCTTAAATTGTCAAAAAGATTTTTTTTCGAAAAATAATTTGCGATATAATGAGTGTTAAACGATAAAATAATCACTCTGTATATGTAAAGGAGGTCAGAGTAATCAATTTTCCATAAGACATATTACACTCATCAGTCATCATTAAATTATTTCAACTAAAACGTTTATCAGTTTTTAATATTTTTAACATACGCCCGAGTTTAACAATCGAAATTTCGTATACCTACTGCTGCAGGTTTTAGCATCGAAACCGTCGGGGTAAAAAAATAAGGAAAATGCAATATTTTATAGAATCACGTGTGTCTTAAATTTTCTAAAAACCGAATAAAGTTATTGTTTCCGTAATAATCAGTGATAATGTTTTATGGAAAATTGATCATGTTTTATTCATATACGATAAAAATAATTTTCGTGAACTATAAAGTTAAATTTTCCACAGCCTATTTTGTATTATAGAAATATCCTTGGTAGTACAATAAATACCCGAATACTTAAAACAATACTATACTAAAATTATACTGCACCATTATACATATAATTGTACTACCAACTAAAAAATGACAAAGTCTTAGCATTAAAAATATGGAAGTTGAAAGTTGGTCTCCCAAGACAAATAAATATCACTAGTACAATACATATACGACATTTGATCCCCTAATTTCTTTAGATAGGTCTTTAGGAATGTTCAAAACTATAATAAAAATTACCATCTAAAAACAACACGCTGAAATTCATATTGAATACTGTCAATTAGTATGTTTTCAATCCGCCTATATAGTAACTTATTTTCGAGTTTGAGCATGTTAAGTCTCTATGAAACCGTTTATAGAAATATCCAAAGTAAAAAGGAAAAAGACAGATATAATATACAATATATCAAACAACACAAGACAGTAAAATTCTCTCTATTTTAGGGGAAAATTCAACAAAAACTATGCTAACATTATTTTTCGGAAGACAAATAGAAAAGTAGTACGTATTAAACAGTATAAATTGCTAATAGGCGTCGTCCATGAAGTTGGCACGCCCACTTCATTCTATTCCATCGAAACCGGTGTCAACATTTTGCGAGTAATTTGTAAGAATTTTTGAGTCCACTCATCCCAGAATTTGTGAGTAGCTTTTACTCCCTCCATAAGTGGGTTAATCAATTTTAGATAGCCCATCCTCTTTATCCAAAGTGATCCGATGTCTACACCACTTCAACCTATGTAAAAATGTTCGTATTTTTCGACCTCCATATTGTATAGGTTGAACGCGAACCACGGAATATTTTTCCTTCGATCAACTCCAGTGCCGTGTCGTCTGTGTACGCTCAGAATTTGCTACGTGACACTGTATATAAAACACTGATTCAATTTCAATAATACATAAGAACATAATAGATATTAATGTTCTTAAGAAAACTTATAAACTATTACATCAATTAAAGTCCATAAGAAATATTGGATGACAATTTATTACTAATTCATAAATATATGAAGATTTTGACGCGAGTTTAGACGAAACCGCAAAGTGGGTGGGCTACTTAAAGTTGACTAATCTGTAAAAGGAGTAAAAGCTAGGTACTCGCAAATTCTAGGAGATTCTGGCAAATTCTCGTAAATTGCTCGCAAAATGTTAACAGCTTCGACGAAATGGTGTGAAGTGAGTAGATTAACTTCATGTACGTAGCAGGTGATGATTTATTTTATTCGGTATTAGCTATATTTCCTAGGCAATTTCAACTAATAAGTTACTCAGTTGAGAACGTTAATAAAAAAATATCACATCTACAGGAGCGGATGGAAAAAGGGGCGGAGAAAATGCCCCTAAGCTTTTTTCTTGTATTGTTGTAAAATATAATACCGAATTTCATTGTTGAAAAATTGTTTGCCTGCTTCCCCCCCCCCTAAAAAAGGTCACTGATATCTATACGAAGTTATCGAGTATATTGTCCCGTGTTATACGCCACAGACAAGAAAAGGGTTTTAAACATAGATATTCATCTTGACTTTACAGTATACGTATACGATAAACTTTTCTACTATCCCGCGGCTTACCATATTATATACATCGTATATTATACCATATTGTTGACTGATGTTAATATAATATATAATATTGTCATCGTTGTGCCCAATTTATCATCGTCTTTGTTTACTGGTATATAATAATATGTTAAAACCGTCTTAATTCACTTATTCCTATCATATAGTTTGTTATTCTACATAACATAAAATTATTACTTTTGACCCGTTTTGCATTCAAATTTACGATTTGTATTGCCCCGGTGTCACGGTCTCCGTGTTCGTGCACGGAATATACCACACGCTATGAAAAGGTTGAATCAAAAAAAAAAAAAAAATAAAAATCGAATAGATTTAGTTTTGTCGAACATATTTTTGTGTAACGCGGATACTAAAAAATAAAATATAGATTTATTTTGTACTACACGTTTACAATCAAAAAACCAATGAAAACGTTATACAGTTACTTCCAAATTGTTATCAATCACTCGACAATTTTTAAGTAAATTAGTGATCCCGTTCAATTCAATATAAATGTAGACAATGAACAAATAAAACAAGTAAAAATGTTACATGCCTAGGAAACATTATAACAGAGAATGATCTTAGCAAAACAAATATAATCTGTAGTATAGCCGAATGAGACTTCCGTGATAAAATCCCTAATTTGATAAAATTAACTACTATAATAGTGTTAATCTGCCAATAAGGAAGAAATTCCTAAAAATCTGCATATGGAATGTAGTGTCTTTTTGATACAAAATGTTTACAATTAACTCAATAGATGTCTATTTTGGAGACTGGAAGCCTTTTAGAAGTTTGGCTTCAAGAAAATGCTT